GTTTGACTCGGGGGGAGTCCAGCAACATAGCCATTACGCTAACTGCTGGTCCCAGATAGGGTTCTTTTTAAAGGGTCAGAGGGGGACCAGCAGGCAGCATGGTAGTTAAGGTGCTGGACTCCCACATGGCTGACTGCTATTCGAGTCCCAGACCTGGCAGCTTGCTTTCTCACTTTTCCTCTGTCTCTCTCTGGTCAGCACATGCCCTATATCAAATTAAATAATAATAATAATAAATAGATAAATAAAACGAAGTAATTCTTTAAAAAAAAAAATTAAAGGGTCAGAGGGCCAGCCCATGGTCTGGTGGTTTACATGAGCTGGCTTCCACACAGCTGACTGTGTGGTTCGAGTCTTGCACCTGTTGCTTTAAGCCAGGAGGTGCCTATGCATGCCCATTGGGAGAATGGTATTTGGAGAATGGTTCATGGCACAACCCCCTCTCCATGGGAGGTGCTTTCTCACCTTCCGTCTCTGGTAAGCACACACACACATCCTCTGGCACATTAAAACATAAATAAGTCAAGGATCAAACCAAGCATCAGCTGACATGACCAGGGAGATGGATTTGGGTCCTGCCTGGAGGATCCTGCCCGGGACGCCTGCCCGGCTGAGGCTGCAGGAGGGGAAGTGTGGGATCGAGTCACCGTTGGCAGGAATCAAGCTCAGAATGGAATATGCCACAAGTGACCAGCTTCCCGCCTCCCCTCCGCCAGCCTGGCTGAGTGGAAGATCAGGTGGCCCAGGCTGGCAGGACGAGGAGATTCCAGCCCTGCCACCGGAGAAGGGACTTCCTGTGAGGAAGCAGAGGTTAACCTGAGCTGAGTCACCTTCTGCACAAGTCTCCGGGAGCCTGCGGAGCCTAACAGAACCTTTCTCACCAGCTCAGCCTCCGTGGCCCTTTCTGGAAAATCTCCCCATATACTCCACACCTCATTGTTCTAGAGTTCATTTACAGTAAAAGGAAGTAAGAGAAACTTCCTCAGAGAGTTAAAGGACTGCAGAAGTACCTGGGGAGTTAGGAGGTGACAGGTGCTCCCTCGTGTCAGGTCCTCAGGAGCACTTGCTGTCACCTACAGTGATGACTGCACGCACAGTTGGCACTTCCAGGCTCCCGCCCTCCACAAGTCCTGTCAGGCTCTAGTTAGCCTCGTTTACAAATGAAAGGGTGGGGCACAGCTAATGCACTGCAGCTTGGGGTGGCCTGCAGGCATTCATAGCTTGTACCTGGAACCGAGATGGACACCCGGTCCCTGTCTCAAAGCACCCTCCAGCAGGTGCCCAGGAAGCACGCGAGGAGTGGGGCTGTCTGGAGGCTGGGACACACCCACTGAGAGACAGCAGCTCTGCAGGGCGTGTGTCTGAGTGCCAGGGGAGTATAGGGGTTCCTGGTGAGTGTGGCCATTGAGGCCAGGGTGCCCCCCGGGCAGGTGAGGTCTTGGCAGATGGAGACCACTTCTGACTGGGGGCACAGTTAACCAGGCCCAGAGGTGGGTGAGAACAGGGTGGGGCCTGGTGCTGGTGAGCTCCGCACAGGGTTCCAGCAACCAGATTGGGGAGGGGGCCCCATCCTGCCTATGGCCCGCCCCCCTCTGTCCCGGGAGCCTGGGAGCGAGTCAGTAACAGGAAGGAGCCCTGCTGCAGGTGCCCGCTTGGAAAGGGAAGCGGAGGGGGAAAGGTGAGCCGTACCAGTTCCCGCGGGTGGGTGAAGGCAGAGACAGCTGCAGCCAGCCCGCTGCCAGTCCCTCAGCCCATCCTGCACCACTATCCTGAGGAGGAGGATGGAGGGCGGGAGGGGGTGTCCAGGAGCCTGACTGCCCCGAGTACCAGCTGCATTTCGAGGCCTCTCCCCGAGCCTACAGGGTAGACCACCAGAGGAGCTGGCGGTCTAAGTCCTGAACTTGGAGGAGTACAGCCCCTTCCTATGAGGCCCGCCCCGCTCATCCAGTAACATGGAGACTGCACAGCATCCAAGAAACTCGACTAGTTTCCTTCGTCTGTTTTCCCGGAGGCTTTGGAGTACTTGGGGTGTGTGTGTGTGTGTGTGTGTGTGTGTGTTTAGAGAAACTTTTGCTAAGGGGCGCATGTGCTTGCCAGAGAGAAAGACGGGAAGCAAGAAATCGTCACCCAGGGTGCATGGCCACGCCTCAGTCCCTTCTCCATTCTCAGAATCGTGGGCATGCACGCACACGTGCCTGGCTTAAGTGTTAAGCTGCTGGGTCCGGGATTTGAACCACAGTCGACCACATGGGAATCCAGCAGCGTAACCATCATGCCATCTGCTGGTCCCTGTGTTCTTTCTTTTCAGTCGTGGCTGTAAGTGGAAAAGATCATTCTAAACCAGCTTGTGTGTGTGTGTGTGTGTGTGGGGGGTCTCTGATGGCTGGTGTCCTGGCAAGTCCTCTCCAGGGCCCCAGCCGAGCAGCGAGTAGCTGCAGGTCCCTCCACTGCCCTGGTCGCCCATGCTCCTGCCCTTCCCCTTCAGGACGTGAAGATCTTCCGGGCCCTGATCCTGGGGGAGCTGGAGAAGGGGCAGAGCCAGTTCCAGGCCCTCTGCTTCGTCACCCGGCTGCACCGCAATGACATCATCCCCAGCGAGGCCATGGCCAAACTTCGGCAGGTGAGAGCTCCCGCCTGGTTCCCACCTGGCTCCTGCCCGGATCCTCAGGCCCAGTGCCCCAGCCCACCAGAGCTCATCCCCGGCATCCCTCACGTAGACCTCCTGATTTACTCCAGGCCAAACCTGCCCCACTGCCCCGATCTCTAATCTGCTTCCTAGACAACTCCACACCCTGGTCCTCACCACCGCCCTCCACTCCCCATTTCTGATGGTTCAGGGTTTAGGCTGCGGAGCAGGATCCGGCCTCATGTCTCCTCCGTCACATGTTCGCCCATGACATTGGACATGTCACCTTGCCTTCAGAGCCTCAGTTTTCTTAGGGCAAGTGGGCTGAGAGAGCAGTCCGTGAGGCAGTGCATGCCCAGTGTTCCCAGGGTTCAGAACCCTTCAGCCTGCCTGCCTGTCCTGGGCCCTGCCTGGGCCCTGGCCTTACCCCTGCCAGCCTCGTCTGAGCCCCCTTCCTATTCCATCCTGCAGGCCCTGCCCTCAGGTCCTCGATCCCCTCTGCCTCTCTGCCTGCTCCCCTTTGCCAGCCTTCCCTCTGGAGAATGGTGACCCCAGAGGTCCTGTGTCCAGAGCTGCAGTTCCACTCCTGCATCCCATCAGCCCCCATGTCAGCCCATGGCCAGCCGGTAGCCATGAGCAGTCCTCGGGTGGAAGCTGTGTGAGCCTGCCTACGCTCTGGGCACCGATGCCCCGCCAGCTGGAAGGGCAGGGCTGGGTGCCCCCTGGCCACCGCCCTGCACATGGCTCCGGAGCTCCAAAGGCAGCCAGCCTAGGCTCCCCGGCTGGGGATCGGGGAAGAACGGGCGGGGAGCACCCTGAGCAACCCTCTCCCCCATGCAGAAGAACCCCCGGGCCGTGCGGCAGGCCGAAGAGGTGCGGGGCCCGGAGCAGCTGCACATGGACGTGGCCGTCAACTTCAGCCAGGGCGGCCTGCTGAGCCCTCATCTGCACAACGTGTGCTCCGAGGCCGCTGAGGCCATCTACACCCGCCATGAGGACGTCCGCTTCTGGCTGGAGCAGGGTCAGCGGGGCTGGGGCGGGTGGCCCTTTGGTCTGCTTGGGAGACACTTCCTGAGCAGCCATGGCGGTGTACTGATGTAATGTCCAAGATGCAGACGCCCAGTTCCTGTCCTTCGGGAGCTTCCTGACAGATTCCTGGAGTCCAGTGTGGCAGAGTGCAGTGGTGGGCTGTAGGCGCTAACCCTCAACTAGGCTGCCGTTGATCAGGGAGGGCTTCCTGGAGGAAGAGGTGCCTGTGGCCGTTCATCCAGAGGGGTCAGCATTCCAGGCAGGGACACGCAAGTTCTGCTCAAGCCTGTAAAGAGAAGTTCCTACCCACTTCCCTCCTGCCCTTGTGAGGACGCAGGTGGGTCCTCTGTCGTGGAAAGGGCACGGGCACCCACGCCCCCACCCATCTCTGTTGCCACCTTAGAAATCATTTCACACCCTCCCTGGAGCCAGCCTCTCTCCTTGAAGATCCTTGCTCGGGAACTCCACTGGTCCTGCCTTTCGGACCTGTGCAGGGACAACCCTGGCCACCTCCCAGTGCCCTTCCCAGGACAGCCTGCAGTCCCTCTGTGCATCAACCCCTGGTCCTTCCCCACCGCCAGCCGGGCACTACAGGAAGGCCTGCCCTCCCGGGGTGGCGCTGGACTTAGCAATGCTTCCCAGGGCTGCGGGCCTGTCCCCACACACCACCCTCCCCAGTGGGCTGCGCCCCCGGCCAAGACACAGACGTGACACCAGCCTCCTGCGGAAACTGGTCCTCCCACAGTCTCTGTGCCGAGCAGGCCCTGCCCCAGCGTCCTTCACTGCCACACTCCAGCTGCCCCGAGCCCTGGCCAGATGGCCTCCCCCTGGGCATGCCTGTGCTGTCCCTTCCCTGGGAGGCGGTACTCAGATAGCACTGCCTTTAAGAAGCTTGCCTCTGGCCAGCCCCATGGCCCAGTGGTGATGGAAACCAGATCCCACATGGCCAACTACATAGTTCGAATCCCAGACCCAGCAGCTTAAAAAACATGCCAGCGCATGTATGCCCCGATCTCGACAGGATGGCGAGCTGGAGGAGGAGGGGTCGTGGTGCGACTGTACCCCACTGGGGTGCTTTCCCTCTGCATCTCTCCCCATCCCGCCCGGGTGCTTTCCCTCTGCATCTCTCCCCATCCCATCCAGGGTGCTTTCCCTCTCTGCATCTCTCTCCCCGTCCCGAGCCAGGCTCTCCTTGGTTCCCCACTGTGGCTGTAGCACACTTGGGTGTGGGTGTTCGAGCAGCAGGTGGAGGCGACATGGCCAGGTGGAGGCCTGGCCGTCACACAGGCCTGGGTTCCAGTCCTGCCTCCACCTTTACTGTGTGACTTCGCCAGATTGCTCACTGTCCCTGAGCTGGACTTCCCGTCGGTAAAACAGGGATGGCAGTACTTAGTTCCTGGGCTGCTGGAAAGTGGTGCCCAGGGACAGTCCCCAGCACACGAGCCTCCGCAGATGGGGTGACATTGCTCAGCTGCGTGTCTCACCCGCCTGGCCGTGAGCAGAGTGCCCAGGGCTCCTTAGCTCCACAGTGCAGCAGCCTTGGGGCTGGCATTGCCGCTGAGTTCTGTGGGCTGACGGGAGGGCCCAGGCAGGGAACGGCCTTCTCTGTCCTTTCTGACCCTTGCCTCTCTCCTCCAGGTGTGGACGGCTCCGTGTTCGATCCTCTGCCCAGGGCCTCCGAGCAGGCAGAGCTGCCCCGCTGCGGGCAGGCGGGGGGCCGTGGGAAGCCCTGCATGTGCCACTACGGCCTGAGCCTGGCCTGGTACCCCTGCATGCTCAAGTACTGCCACAGCCGCGACCGGCCCGCGCCCTACAAGTGCGGCATCCGCAGCTGCCGGGAGACCTATGGGTTTCCACTTCCCCCGG